CTTTCCTGGTGACCTGTGAGCTGGGTTTGTAACATACATCCTCTGCTGAAAGGCTCTTGAGAACATCAAGGTACGGCATATCTGTTCTGCAGGGAGAATTTCCTGAACATATTGGCACCTTCATCCTTTCTGTGATATAAAACTAAAGATAATTTAGGCATAAAGCTGGAATGAAATCCCAAATGTAGCTTGGGATTGTCACCTGTTCTCAAGCATGCAGGTACCAGATGCTAGAATGGCTGTCGTAAGTCTGAGTGCTAATTTATTGGGGTGCTGTAGGCAGCAAGTCTCTTGCCATACAGGGTGGCTTGTGCCTTCAGGCTTGCAGGATGATGTGGTACCAGGTGATCAGTGGTGCTACTCTCTGGCCTATGGGACTGTCCTGCTAAAAACAAGAGGATCCTGTTTAAGCCACTCGTATGCGCTGGATGAGGAAGAGAGAAGGAAGGGCTGTACGGGCTGCCTTTAGGCTCATTTAGTCTGCCCTCACTAGCATGGGTGTAGAAACAATTGGGAAAGAAAGTTGCTGCCTGGAAAATGGGGTATTAGTGCAGACAGTAATTGCATGCTGCTTTATATTCAGTGCTACGCTGTGACATACCAGGTGGGCAGTAGGTCTCATCTGCCTGTATTTCCATCATATGTCTAATATGCCATGTAGGAAGCCAGCAAATTTTTTGAAGAAGATGGGGACTATTGCAAAAATTACAGAGTAAGTTAGAGAAGTGGGAGAGGGGACACTGGAGAAGCCCTGGCAAGGGAGATGCTGAAGGTGTGAGATGAGACCAAGTAAGTATGGCTCAGCTTAGCAGACGGGAAGCTGAGAGTGGATGTTGCTGCCATGTACTAATAGAGCATGGGAGTAAACATTGGCAAGCTTACAGCTATTTAAGATAAAGGTTAATGTTAGCACAAGAACAGAAGGTTATAAGCTGGTTATGAACAAACCCAGGCTAAAAATCAGAAAGTGATTTTCTAATTGTTAGTGAACAGCTTCCAAATGGGTTTCTTTGCCCTTTCTGTTTCTAATTAATCTAAACTCTTGTCTGTTTATGAAAGCTATTGTATGACAGTCACTTGTGGGAGCAAAGAATGGGACTTCATCATCCAGAAAGTCTCTAAGTAGGCTGTGAGAAATGCCCATGGACCCACAGCCTCCATAACTATTTTACACAGCATGGCCTCCCTGTGCTTACGCTGTCCACCTCCCTGCCGCTTTGCAGGACCCTGTGGGTTTCAGAGCACAACCAGAGGTGCGTAGGAGAGGTTATTTGCTACTTAGATGCTGTCAGTGATATAGAATTGTGAAAATCACATTGCAGTCCTTCTTGGATGGCTTTTCCATGCAGTTGCACAATAGATATTAACGATGCTAGACAGGGAGAGGGTTCAAGTATTGTACTTGAAGAACAGTACTTATTAGTGACTCATGCCTGGTAATGAACCTGTCATAGATATAATTTTATTTTCTGACAAATGTTCAAGTGGTAATAGTTTTTAGAAAATATAGTGTAGTTTGTAAACAGGCTTATTCTTAAATGAGATTTCTAAAATTCCTCGTGGAATTTCAGTTGCTTATTTAGACAGTAAATTGCAATTGAACCTTTGGTCATTAAAAGTTTTTAAAAGCTAATGCTGGAAAATTATTTTGTAGGAGAGCTTGAAAAGCAAGGGAGTATCAAGGCAGAATTGGCTTTGCGCCCTAAAAAGGAGATACTAGAGCTAGTTGGGTATTCAGATTTAGCTGTGAACTGATAAATCTATTTAGCCTCACTTTGGTTACTTTAAGAAGTTACATATAGAAATAAATGAAAATTGAGATTGCTTTATGTAAAAGACCAGTTTATTTTAACCGTATTTCCATCTGTTTTTTATTTTTGTTAATGAGTCAATATTCACCTTGTATTTTAAAATAACACACATGTTTTGGAGAAACTGTTATTGAGAAACAGAGAGTGCTAAATTCTATTGCAATTTATTTAAATTTTTCTATTTTTATTCAGTGTATCTTGTTAGTGAAGCAGATTGAAATGCATGCAAGTGTTTTTGTGATATCTCATATAACGGGTACTTGAAGGATCCAGTTTTGTCTACACAAAACTGTATAGATTGGCTGGTGTATTCACTCTGAATTTTGTTATGCCTAATTTAAGGAATTTAATTTAAAGCAAGTACAAGTCTCCTTCATATTTAGTGACACGGATACATGTTACTCATCCTAATTAAATCACACTAATTTTAGCTCACAGTAGTAATAGCTAGTTAATACACAACAGTGTGCAGCTGCTAGAATCATCCCTTTTTAACCCTGTCTTTACATCCACCTCTCCTCATTTGGGTGTGTTCTGGTCAGTCTACTTGCCTATCCTGTCACAGTCTTGTTGAAGGGGCTAATTGGCCTCCCAGACGCTGGGCTTAGGTCAGCTATGTAATCAAAGCCTGCCTTGTAGTACAAATTTCATCCCCTTGCAGATGCTTTCTCAATCCAGTTATTCTCAGTTTTTGTTTGCATTAAATTTCCTTCCCTGTCCCTTCCAGTCAGGGGAGCAGACTGACTGGATTTCTAGACACAGTTAATCCAGGACCATTCTGCAGAGCCTGACAGGCGTTTTTACTGGGGGTGTGAAAGCTGTGTCTGGGCTTATTAATACGAGTATGATTGCTGGAGATCAGCTTTGTCAGAGGTACAGTGGGGCAATGCCCCTTTTTTCTTGTTCAGTGCCTATATTAACAGTGTCCTCAGAGACTGACAGAGGCTTATATGTGGACCATAACAATTATTTATGGGGTATTTTGGCTTGTTAATCAACTGCTGCCTTCTGCAGGGAATATAAATACAGAAGTTATTCCTGCCTAAGAGAAAAGCGTATTATTTAAGGCAGAAGTCATAAAAAGGAAGGTAGGGGAGTAAAATGTATTTTTAACTTGCTGCTTGAATGTTGGTGCATCTGTGGCAAATGAGGAAGAAGGTGCTGGTATAGGGGACAATCTGTCAGCAAAGGTAGCTGGGCAGTGCTCCATCAGGTCATTAGTTGTAACTCCTCTGGCATGCTATTACATGATGCTGGACAAGCCATGTTGGCTTTTGAAAAGGGTTTTTCCGTTCTCTCTCCTTCTGATCCAGGAACTGATTTCTGGTTATTTGATCTAAGATTCTGGAAATGAGCCATCAGAGCAGTAAGAGAAGTCGCTGGAAGCCAGACTTCACAGTGTTTGTTACACTCCAAACTTGATTACTCTGAAAAATGGGGGTTTTGTTGTCTTGGGATGGCTGTCCAAACAGAGAAGGTCTTAACCTGACTCTGTCCTCATTCTTCAGTTGTAATAGAGACTTTCTCACTTCACAGGTATGCTATGAAAACACCAATTAGTGCTTGAATTACTTGAGCAATATGGTGATGAGTGCATAGAACACTCCTTAGCCCCCCTGCATTGAACAGTGGTGTAACTGCATGTAATTTTAGGGCCTGGCTGTGATACAGTAAATACTGCGTGCAGTCATGCTTTGAATAACACGAAGAAAACAATATTAAACAGTTTCTTGCTCAGTGAGCAGTAGAATACCCACTCTTCTTCCTGAGAAAGAGGCTTACCTGCACTGGAAAAAGAATCCACTTTTAAGTTCATACTGGGTGCTACCCTGTAGGATCAAGGCATTGAATTCCTGTAGCCACATCCTTGGATGCTGGACCTGTGTTTCTGCAGAATGCATGAATAGTTGTCAGAGACCATTTCCCTGTTCTCACTGTCAAGCCCAGGTAGGAAAACATGCTCAAAAGCATTTGAACTAAGCTGTTATGTTGTGGACAGCTGGGTTGTCATGCAGACCATCTGTGGGGAGCATGTACGTGTTAGCAGGTACATGTGTTACCTTGTGGTTCCCTACCTGAGACAAGCTCTGGAATGACAGAGGTAAGGAGCAATAAAGCCAAGACCCAGGCAGTATGTGAAGAGATTAACTAGACCATCCATCTTCCTCATAAGCATCTCTGAAAAATGCATTTACTCTTTCTTGTTAAAACCTTCTGGGATGGAGATTTTGTAGCTTCCACACTCATTTAGACTTATGATTAAAAACTTTTCTAGATGTCTAACCTAGCTTTCCACTGCTGCAAGTTAAGCCTGTTGTTTATCTGTATTTACAATAGAAATGCTTAATAGTTTACTTCCCTTGTGCTTGTCACAACTAGTTTGTGTTTGAAGGCTGTTACATCTACCTGAGATCTATATTTCACAGCATCTGCAACTTCTCTTTCCCAGGTTTCTTGATCAAAAGCAATTACTGCTCTAACCAAGAGTATAATTGAGTATAATTTCAGGTTTTTCCACCCCCAACACATGCCTATGCTCAGATGCCTCTGCATTTTAGTGATGCTGATTATTTAATTAGATGTGCAATTAAGACATTGATTGTAATTTTCTAATTTCACGAAATACCAAGTCCTTATGTTCTGGATACCATTAGGAGGAAGAGAGATGTAATTTGAAGGAGGAAGCAGCAGAGGGAGAGTTTTCTCTGCTATAGATGCTTTCTCACTGCCTGTTGACCTAAGGTATTCAAGCTGACTCTAGCTTTAAAAGCCAGATTTACAGCTGTTTCTGAAATGTGGGCATCCAGATAGTAAAATTTTTGAGTCAGCTGAGTTGCAGGGCAGGAGCTCAGATTTGCTACAAGTTCATCTGCCTGTACTTCTGGATTAAAAATGGTGAATGGATGCTTCAGTTAGGAAAGGGCTTCCATGCTTTTGGATAGGCAGCCAGAACACAGGGCAAGAGCTCTAGGGGCATTCACTCTATGATTTTATGATCCTATAATTCAGTTGGTTTGGGGAGCATGTTTAAGGAAGGTGTTGTGTCTGTAATTGCTGGGGCACAGGGAGACAATATGCTGCTCCGGAGCCCGTCACCTGAGAGAGCTCTGCTTTTAGTGTCTCAGTCTTGAGTTTGAAGGCTGGTGTGGGCTGTGATGAGCTGGTTTGTCATTGTCTCGGCAGCAGCTTCTGGAGGGAGCGTGGTTCCTGGGAGGTAAGGCTTGTTTGTGCCCTGAAGTGTCTGGCAATTACCAGATGAGGAACAAAATACCCTTTTCTATGAAGTGCTAGGTGACAGAGCCGATAGTATTTGATTTTGTATCCCAAAAGTTCAGAGTGTGAACACATACATGGAGACAAGAAAGGGGCAAGCAGGTTTAGCTTGTGCATTTGAAGAGCTGTCTCACATCACTCAGAAAAGGTTTTGTTGTGAGTGACACTGATGACTGTAAACAAATAGAATGGAGGAGGATTTTAATCTGAGCTTTTCTAATTTTATGACCAACACTCCCTTAAGGGTTTCGCACCTTAAGATTTCCCATTTCAGACTAGATCTGTTCTAGCCCATGGAGGAGTTTTTTGACTGGAGTGTCAGCAGCAGCAGCTGCTGAGGGAAGGGTATGAGAGGTCTCACTGTAGGCAACTCTAATTTAAAGTCTCTGACCAATCCCTACCTGATAAAGATAAGGCTAAACTGTGAGGTGTAAGAGGTTTGTGTCTCTACAAAAACGTCAGTGCTGTGCTAACTCATAACCTTATAAAAATCCCACTCCTTAAGTCTTACTACATCCTTGGCCTTGGAAATACCCGTTATTCTGATGTGAAAGGCTTTGCTTCTGTTAATTCAGGAATGTTCATGTCTTGGGGTCCGGTGGACATCCTTACAGTCAAGTAATGTTAACATGAGTGTAAACATCTTTCCTATGAAGACCAGTCAGCCAGTGGTTTGGTCTCACCTAGGCACAACAAATGGACTTATCTTGACTGTCTTTGGAAGGTAAGCAGTCCAAATATCTCTGATCTATAGCAGGTTTTTCAGCGTGCCAGTGCTATTCTTGTTATCTTTCTGTAAACCAAATAATTCAACTTTTACAAAAAAAAACACCTTCTGTAAGGAGGGAGAACTTTTGAGCCTTGGGGGAAGATTATCTCCTTCCTTTTTTTTCCTCGAGTGTTTCAGGGCTAATGCCTGGCCAGTTTCCCAGGTGCTCGCAGGGTGCTGTAGGAGGTACCTGTGCCTTTGTTCCCCTCTGAGCATACAGGTTGCTCTTGCACTTTGCCTTACCCTTTCCTAAAGGGAAAAGAGAGAATCAGTGCTTTGAATGACACGTTCTTAAAGAAATATGTTCTTTCATCTGAAAGTGACATCTTAAGCATATGTTTCGTAAGTGTGTTCTGGAGCTATTGTAACAACAGAAATGGCATTGACAGGCTAGTTTTAAATGTCTTGGAATATGCAGTCTCTTCTCTTCCAGGCTTCTGTCTCAGCAGCACCGCTTAGGTTGTGGTGATGCACAGCTCCTCAAAGTGTGGTATTTATTGGAGACAGCTGTCAAACAGCAGGAGGTCACTGCTTTTTCATTAACACTTCATCTTTAGACTGCTGATTGACTGGATCTTCTCGAGGCTTTGAAGAAGATAATAAATAGCATGTTTTCACTGCTGAGTCAGTTGACAGGCTTTATGCTGTGTATTTGAACTTCCGAGGTCTAATGCAGCGCTGAACTCAAAATACCTTACTGAGAACTCTGTAGGGAGGGAGGTAGAGTGGGCAGTCGCATTTGGGACAGATGATTCTTATTTTTGTTCCAGTGTTTCAAATGATTGGGTTGCCATTTGTGAGATGAACTAAACCTAGGTGAGAGTTGGACGCAGCTGCTGTTCCAGAGATGCTCTCTCCATTGACTCTTCTCTCTTGTCTCTTCACATTTTTTCCTCTTGTCTTTTTGTTTCAGCTCTCTATATAACATTCTTACTCTCTAGTTTACTTAGCCACCCAATTTTTTACTTCCCCAGGAGCCAGGATGCTAAAATTGTTCCTGCTCGTCTTCCTGCGGGAAGAAGCACTGTGAGTGTGGGAGAGAGAGGAGCAGGACCTGTGCTCGAAGCGTGCTCATTTTCCTTCGGTTAATCCACTCGTGCTCGCGAAGGAATTGCTTACTTTCTACAATTTTATCAGTAATTTAGTACTTTACAGGAAGTTGGAATGAAACAGATAATGAGGATTAAAAAAGAAGAAAGGGTAATGTATACCTCGCAGACATCAAAGCATTTGGCCTATATAGCTGAGCTGGGCTTTATCAGTTTTAATAATTCCCTGCTGGCTCAACCTAAAATTAAAATCTGTTGGTGAATTAAAAGATTTCAATAAGTATTTAAATTTTTAAGTGGGTATTTCTGTAGTAGAAGGCAAATAACTCGGTGCTTTGAGCCTTAAGGTAAAGCACACTCTTTCTAATCGGTTTATTTCAAATGCATGTCGTGTCTATTTTTCCTGATTCTAATCTACATTATTTCCATAAACAAAACATCCCTGAAAAATAGAGCCTGTCTCAATCTTCTGTGTTTAGATGAGGTTTTTTTTGAACGTTTGAAATGTGCAATCTCCCTTGCTTCTGAGGGCACCCATATTTTTGTACCCACATTTTCCTTTCCAGCTCCTTGTGAATCGTGGTGAGGGGTGTGACACCTTCCAGCCCCTCACTGCCTATCTGTCTAGGAGACTTGCTTGTTTTTAACATGTTTTCTTCAATTCCTGTTCTTATAAGGCAGCATGGGAGTATTGGCATTCTATGTAGCAGTGCTTGGAAATCTGCACAGCCTTTTTGGGACTCGGGAGCTGCAGCTGGAGGATTCTGGGGTTTGCCCCAGTGCATCTTTGACTTGGATGTGCTAATGTGTGGTGTTAATGGCTGCAAGGACGGGCAAAGACGAAGGAGGAAAGAGGGAAAGCAGCAATTGCAAGATGAAACTGGCTCCTCTTGTAGTTCGAACTTTTGAAAAAGTAACACGTATAAAAGCTTGAGAGGCTGTTTAATGGATATTTCAGGTGCTCTAGAGCACTAATGTGAATAAGAAAGTGCTGTCTGACAGATGCTTAATTTTTTTTTTTAACTAATGCTGTGAAAAAGACCCCTGGCAAGATCTTTTTTGCCTTATTCATATGCAGAGCTTTGAAGAAACTAAGTGCCGCACAAATCCGGGATTGCATTTTTATTTTCTCAATTGGGCAGTCTTCATCCTTATGTGGATGAATTTGATACGGAGCTTTAGCTCTGAGCTCAAGTGCTACAATTGGTGTGTTTAGTAGCCATCATTTCTATTGCAGTGGAAGCTAGTGCCCTTAGTTGGGTTGGAGCTCTCTTCTCCTGGTGGGGTGCAACCATGTAATGAGAAACTTGGGGTCAGGCTCCTTAAAATCATTTAAAGCTAAAGCACTTCTGAAGATCTGACCTATGGTCCATTCTGCTGCAGCAAGAGACAGTGCAAAAAGAGGGAGGGCTTCCTGGGGGATTGAAGGATATGAGTGACCACAGAGGAACGCTGACCTTGGGGAGGGTCTGAAAGGAGGCTGGTGGTGTGATTTCTGTGCTGGGCTACAAGGGACAGTGCTGTGGCTACACATGGAGAGAGCAGGGGTAAGTGGTGCTGAGACAAAAATATTGTGAACCGTGGCATCAGTCTACTTGTATGAAAACCTTGTGCTTACATCCATCAGAGAAAAGAGCTGATGGGGACACAGCCTGGCTGCTGCCAGCTGAAGCTTCGGGGATGGAGCTGTGGGACCAGAAAGCAGAAGGTGCTGGGAGAATATCCCATGCAGCGAGGACAGGGCTGGAAGCACAGTGATGCTTGTGGGGGAAGTGGTAAATAAAAGATGATATTGGTGTAGGTAAGAGATTGGAGGGGAAGTATCATTCACAGCAAAGCTGGCTCACAAAGAGGTAGGAGGTATTTGAGCAGATGGGAGGATAGCGGCATTTCCACATCTAAGTCATATAGGCCTCTTCAAAATGCCACCCCACCACATTTGTGGGGCAAATAAACGGTGCCTTTGATTCAGGCGCTTCTTGCAGGATGGATGCCTGCCGCTCCTCACTCCTGGGAGAGAAGTGTTGGGAGAACGTGAGTGGATGTGATTCTGTGCACAGCAGTCCTGCAGTCATTCTTTTATGTAACAATGTGACTTTTATTTTGGGGAAACGTGAGATCAATGGGTGTTCAATCCCCCACACTTGTAGCAGAACTCGTACCAGTGTTCCTTGGAAACTGGATGCGATTTTCTTCAGCGAGGGCGTCGCTGAATCTTGTAGGTTAGTCTGGGGGTGAACGGGAGTTACAAAAATAAACATCTATGTCAGAGTTGGGTGAAGAATCTCCTTGGAGCTGGTTGATTGTGTTGAGTCCTGGGCTTTTATCCCTAGCCTGCCTGCTCGGCAATCCTGCAGGATGCCAGGAATCGGGCAGAGTGCTTTTCCAGCGCAGATCGGCTCGCTGCGCTGTACTGCCTGCTCCCGTAATGCCAGAGGAGTGCGTTTTGTCTTTAGTCAGATTGGCTCCATCAGTTCGTGTTTCCTTCTGAATGGATAATAAAGTGGAGAATCATTCCGAGGCGAGGAGTGAAGCGGGGAGGCTGCGTGTGTGAGGAGCTAGGCAGCAAGCAGCTGACGAGGAGGAGTAAAGTAGCAATAGCTGCACAGCTTTCTCTCTGCCTCTGAAGTACAATATTTTCTGTTGAGTCACAACTGAAGAGAAGGATGAAGTTTTAACTGTACTTGGTACTGCCTGAGAAAGGGAAAAGATGCACTGTGGTGCTGAACTAATGAATCTCTGCTGAGGGATACCCCTGGAAGCCGACAGGATTTCTGCATTTTTGGCTTTTACATTCATTGGCTTCTGCTGTTTTTTGCTTTTTGGATTTTTAGTAGCTCTTTGCATTTTTTTTCTTCGCCCTTCAAAATATGCCTTCAACTTTACGTGATTTCTCATCCTACTGCTGCTGTGGAACAGGATACTCTCGGTGCCTTTAACATTGTTTTCTCTCTAACCTGAGATGGGACACCAACAATATGTTTATAATCTCCATGGGGAAAGTTCACTCTCTGGTGAACCTTTAATAAGATTAGGAATCCTTCAGGACTTGTTTTTTCTATGAGAACAAGCTATTGTATTCTGTAGTTTTCTATTAATTCTATACATTTCCTTTACATTTTAGCCTTGTATTTTATTTTGAACCAGCAAGGTAAGTGAATGATTGGATTGAATGGAATGATTGGAATACTTGCCTACTGCAAGCAGGCAGCAACCAAGAACTGTTCTTTATTTTCAGAGTGCACTCTGTGTGTGTGTGTGTGTGTGTGTGTGTTTACTTTAGTGACAGCTAAACAGCTCCATAGGAAGCTGACTGGGTTTAAACACGTGCTTTGTAGAAACAATTTACTCTTAGTACATTTATTTGTATGCTGTATTTCTCAGTTTTTGTGTTCACCCATTAGTCACTAATTGTAGATGTCTTATTGCTGCTCTAATCAAAGTAGTGTCTGTTTACTTCTCATACTTCTCTGTTGGGAGGGTTTGTTTCTCAGCTGGAATTTGACATCAAAATCACTATGTGAAGAAGAGTTAAAGGGAGAGGGATTTGGGGATAAGTTAGATTTGGTCACTTGAAAAGCAAATAGACTTGAGAGTTTTTGGCTTGATTCTTCATTAAATGTCACTTAAAACAGGCTTGCTTTTAACCCACGGTGTTTGTCACTGGCCTGATTTCCTGTGCCGAGAAGCTTGTGAGTTGATGAGATAAAATGACTGGCATGCAGGAGCGATGAGGGTGCTGTACAAGCTCATGAATCAGAGCAGATGGTGTGACTGTTTCAGATATCTTTTCAGTTTTCATTCCTTTTATATGGGCAGCTTTCCTTTGCCAGTGGGGTGAGCCTTTGGGGGATGAACATCAAGACTTAATACAGTATGCTAAGGTCTTCTGTCCTCAAGATGAAAAGGGGAAAGCTTATAGAAGTAAAGCTGCAGTTTTAGCCCAGGAGGATTTTAGTTGCAGAGCGCTGCAGTTAAGCAGCAGGAGCTGGAAAACCCTAATTATTCCATCAGCTGCCTACGTTACCTTCACCCAGCCTGGATGAACGCTGCTGAGTGTCTGCTCTAAAGGAGTCACATCAGAAGCAGTGAGCAAAATCATATAGCACCAGTCCATACCACAGCTGTGCTCGCACTGCCCTGACAACAGAAGTTGGGTCTCCTAATTTCTCACCGTGTGTTAGTACATGTTGCCTGCCCTTCCCCACCCTGAGTGTCCCTGTGAGCTGAGGTGCTGTTAACTCAAAAAACAGCTCCAGGGAGTAATCAGAGTTTTGAGAATATTCCTAAGGATGAGTGTTTCCTGGAGGTCCTTATCAAAAATGTAGCACACCATTGCTTCAGCGCTGGATTGTAAATTGGATTACAAGTAGAGGAAAGGCACAGCATGTTCTGTCTGTCTAGGCAGAGCTCTTAGCATTTTCATAACGGTGCTCTCAAAACATATTTAAACAGAAGTACTGGGTTTGTACTGGCAGTGCTTTCTCTCTGCTCTCTGAATAGGGGTTGCTGAACAATCAGAAACCTTTCCCCAAAGGCTTAGCGTGCATTTCTACAGTTTTGATCCCCAGGCAA